GTGTCAGGTCTCACATTGCATTTAAACTTTAAGAAATTACCTTTTGTTGAAGTTTGGTGTAGCATCCAATATAGTTCAGTAATCTGCCAAGCTGTTAAAATCTCCTCCCTTTTCCAATTCTGCATCTGTGTGAAACTAAAATTTCTCCCTGTGCTTCAACAAAAATAACATATCACAAAACACCAATGCAGAAGTAGATATGAGAATCCAACTGTCTTTTATTAAGCTACACATTAAAGATTTATGCAAAACTATTAAACAGTGCTACTCTTACTCATTTTTTTCTGTTTTGAAACTGTAGTTGTTTTTTTCCAAAAATATGTTATATATTATAACCTATAATGGATTTATTATTTTTAATACATTAGGAAGTATATTTAAATTTTTTCTCAGTTTTAATTTCTAATAAGTCAAAACCAAAATCTTGTTAGAGTGCTCAATACTTTTTAAGCATAGGCAGAGATCCTAAGACCACAAAAGCTTGAGAACCATTGTCCTATAACACCTATTGCCTGTGGAAGGAACTGGATTCCCGAGTGGAGACTGTCTCCACAGCAATAAGAAAAGAAGGGACTTCAGGTGTTGGGGGATACCTGTGGTGAGTTACTGGGTCAGGTGAAGGTTGTAGTCACCATGAAGCTGTTCTTTCTTGGGTTTTGTTCTGCTCTGTGTGTTACCTAACTCTTTCTTCTCATCCACAGATATGTGTCCTAACACTGCAAGTTCTCACTTATAGGTGCAAGCTGAAGAGTTGATTTCATAGCAGCAAAAAGTAGAATGGTCACTAGAGGCTAGAAAGGGTGGGGAAGGGATAATAGGGGGAATCAGATAACAGGTGCCAAAATACAGTTAGTTAAGAATAAATTCTAGTGTTCTACAGCACCGGATGGCATAGCTTACAACAATTTATTATACATTTGATAGAGAACCAGAAAAGAGGCGTTTTAAGCTTCCCAACACAAAGAAATGATAACTGTTTAAGGAGCGGGAAATGCTAATCACCCTGATTTGATCATTACCCTCTATATGCATATTCAAATTATCACATTGTGGCCCATAAATGTGTAAAATTTAAAAATAATAAATGAATAAATAAATTGGAATGCAGAAGAAAGAAAAGATACTTGCCCTGTGTCCTAAGTCCCTATTGGACAGACCACCTCACATTATAAATAATTAAGAATAAGGTATCAACTTTAACTTGACTGGTGTTTATGAGCAGAAATAAGATGCACTGCACGTTGTGTTGGAAATGAGGACATAATGATTTCTACAACGTAGATCCTACCCTCCAGGAGATTCTTAAGGTCCTGGATGGAAAGAAAAATAACACTGAGATCAGAAAGTAACAGGTAACATTTATATGTTTAAATGAGATTTTGATTGCTTTAATACAAAAGAGTGTCCAATGGGGATTTTTCACTAGTGAAAGAGAAAGTTGTGGGTCAGGTGCCCTCTTTAGAGTCCCTGAAATCACACCAGCTATGGGAATTCACTAATGTCCATCTCATCTTGTTTTCAGGCCAATGAACTTCCAGCAGAACTCACCAAAAATGAACGTATATTGCGTCTCCTCCGAAGTAAAGAAGGACACAGGAAGAGCTAAGTTAGTCTCGTGTTTGACAGAAAGGTAGAAACCTAAACCACATTGTCCAAAAAGAAAGTGCTTTTTGCCAGGTGTGGTGGTACATACCTGTAATCCCAGCTACTCTGGACGCTGAAGCAGGAGGATCGCAAGTTCAAGGCCAGCTTCAGCAACTTTGTGAGATCCTGTCTCAAAATAAAAATAAAAACCAGGGGTGGGGATGTAGCTCAGAAGTAGAGCTCCCCTGGGTCAAATCCCCAGTATCTATCTATCTATCTATCTCTCTCTCTCTCTCTCTCTCTCTCTCTCTCTCTCTCTCTCTCTCTCTCTCACACACACACACACACACACACACACACACACACACACACACTTTTCAGTGTTGAAAATTCTTTTAAAAAAGAACATGCTTAGAATGCCCATCCTGTGGGACCCTAACAAAGAGCTGAGTCAAGAACAGAAGAGCCCAAGGTCCCTGTCCCCTCACTTATAGTGAGCTTCTTACACTGCCCTGAAACTCAGTTCCCAGGGACCTGGCATGTTCATGGATTCCACAGAAATTCATTTGCTGCTAGGCTAACTTGTGTCTCAAGAGTTAAACTCAAAGTTGGACAGGGTTTTCAATAGTATGCAAAGAGACACAAAGTTTTGTTCCTTTTAAACACCGAAAGATTGACCTTCAATGAATTGATGCACTTTTGCTTTTGTGTTAAATGTAGGTGTGCTAAAATACGTAGATGCATCCTATTTGACATATATGGACCTATTCGTATGTCATTTCAGTGTTAAATGTTTTCTTCCACTGAAGATCATAGCCATGATAATTGAGAATCAATGACGTGCAAGCATACATTAGGGAAAGCCACTTCTGACAGCCGCCATGAGCTAGTTAAAGAGGGACTGTTGAACTATAGAATGGGCAACCCATATGTTTGTTGGTTAATGCTCATCTTATTCCTGACATGTAAAAATCCTTTTCACTTAGTCAACATGGTAGGTATGTTAGGATCCAAGTGGCAAATTTGAAAATCCAGAAAATTATAAACTATAAGAAATGTAGGCTTGTCTCTTTTGAGATTTTATTTTGGTTCTATTGTTGGGAGTCTATTTCCCATACAACAAATAAGTAGACCTAATATGCTGTGGAATCTTGAGCTTCCAATATTACACCGCTTGATACAATGACCGAGGTCCTCAGATAAAATATGATATATGTAAGTACACGATGCTATCACTATTGCAGGAGTATAAATTATAAAAGATGGTTGTTAGTATTTGGTAAGTGTTCATCTATGCATGTTCTTGGGTTGATGGATTCCAAGAAGGAATTCTGAGTTTTATTGAATTATTCTTTTAAGGGGAATTAAAACTTACTTTGAATGCACTTTATGATCAATGGTGTCTAACTGCCTCTGTTGGTGCCTAACTGCACACACACAAAACTAAACCTTCTTTCTATAATCTCCCATAATAAATTCTAACAGTATTTCTGTTATTTAAATACATTGTTAATTTTCTTGCTCCTGTTTTGCTCTGGTTTCTAGCCAATGTTCTGTATAAAGACACATTAATATGGAGAGAAATATTGTAATCCCAGAATGAGTTTTGTTTAATCTATTTACAGTGGTGCTAAAAGCATCATCTTTAAGTCAGTAAATGATAGAATGTAATTTTTGAAAGTAGAAGATATTCTCTTACACTTCTTATGATTAATACAATAAAAATAAGCATATTTATCAATGTCACAAGCAAAGCCACAGCCTTCAGAGATACCTATTACCTGACTAGTTATACAGAAATCTTCAGCCTAATTCTAAGCAAGATAAAAGATTAGAAAGCTCTGTGTTGCCAAAACACTCAATATAAACATTTTGGTAGCTACAAAGCAGTGCCAATTTCCTTGTTGACATTCTTTTATTCAACAAAGTTATACAAACACATGTTTTCCTCTGTGGGAATTTCAGAAAGCTATATTCATTTTTAAGAAGAAAATAATGTGGCCTTAAATGCTTTATAATTTTCCCTTTAGTTAGCCCTTATGCCAAAAATAGTTGCTCATCCTGATCCAAAACAGAACAGCTTAATGGGTAAATGACAAATTTTTCAAAGACAAAATCACAGACTTAATATTTTTAAAGTATGTTGTCATTGGTCTATTCCTTAGATGTGTTAAGTGGATAATGTTCTTGAATAATATTAGGGCCTTAAAAATGAATCTAGTAGCTTTAATAATATTTAATGAAGGCCTCTTACTATCTATAGGTAGGAGGTGTCTAGCTTACAAGGAACACATTTGAACTAGAGGAAATTATTATATTATCTACAGCGGCAATGATGATTAATCACCTACCAAAGACTGAACAGAAGGTCTGTTCTTTTAAAAATTACATTTTAGTTTGCACACATGTAAATGATTCTTATTTTACATTTATCTAATTCACAATTCAATTAGCTCTGCATCCTAGGACTTAAAACTATCAAGTCTTAGTGCAAATCATCTGCTTACTTAAAATACAGAAAATTTTCAATACATGTATTTGTTTGATGACACATTCCACATTGTCATTTAAAATAAAATTAATATACTACCCAGTTTGCCTTTGCTGATTTTTTTGCTTGTTTTCAGTCAGAAGTTATTTCTGTGATTTTTAATAGCATGGGATTTTAGAGTGAACAATTCAACTCTGTTGGTAAATGTGTTGATTTGGGGGATCCTGAATAGAACTTCAAACTTTATTCTACTAATGGGTCTATGATTTTGTTATTTTTTTCCTGTTACATATCAAATGTTTAATATATGTGTCACCATTACTATATTTTTAAACAGATTCTCTACCTAAGTGCACAAATACTCATTATTTGTAATTACTTATTTTTACATATATGCTTTCAGCAAGTCTTGAAGCAACAATTTGATTTTTATAGGGTACACGAAAATATTTTTTAATATTTATTTTTTAATTGTAGTCGGACACAACACCTTTGTTTTATTTATTTATTTTCATGTGGTGCTGAGGGTCGAACCCAGGGCCTCGCACATGCTAGGTGAGTGCTGTACCGCTGAGCCACAAC